GCTGGTGGCTCCCCCTTGTAATCTGAGCTACTTTACAGGCTGAGATCCAAAGGATGGTGGTTTGAGGAGGCAGAAAAGTCCAAGAGACTCCATCTCCTAAATTACCAGCAATAAAAAAGGTGAGGTGCTGTAGGCATGGCTCAATTAGTAGAGTCCCAGCTGAGTAAGTTGTGATACCACAAAAGAAAAAGAACGAAATGAAGGAAGGAAGAAAGGACGGAAGGAAGGAAGGAAGGAAGGAAGGAAGGAAGGAAGGAAGGAAGGAAGGAAGGAAGGAAGGAAGGGGAAAAACACAACAGACTAGGTATGCTATATTGAGTTGACTTCAAGTTCTTATATAAGAAGAACTACAGTTTTATGGCATAAAAGCAAGTCCCCTGGCATTTCCCTTAGTTTAAGAATGGCTTTCCCCCTCTGCCATAAAGAGTCGAGGCCCTAAACAGTTCTTTCCACCGGCATATACACACACACACAAAAAAATCCTTTCCTGCATGGCAAAGTTCATGTACTTCCTGAATGAGCACATACCTGATAACTATCCTTTGCAACTTGTAGAGGACTGAGTCCAAAGCATCACATCTTTCTCATTAACTTTCTGTGCACATGATTAAGGCAAGTCGCTAACTATATGGATATTATACATGTCAACCTTTCATGACCCAGCCAGCCTGTGATTCAAATGTCATGAGCTTGTTGAGGGGTGAAGCTAAGCCATCCAGCTGGGAAAGGACAGGAGTTACCTGCAAGGAGCAGGTGCTGCATATTATAAGATGTGACTTCACATTAGAATCAGGCCTGGTAACAAGGCCAGATACCACATCTGTTGAGGACTAACTCCTTTCGTTACTAGAGTGAATTTTTAATCTCAGTTTTAAAACTAAGAAAAGCTTAGTTTCTTGGTATAAACATAGTTTCACTTACTATAATTTGTTCCCTTCTTTATTTTAAAAGACAACATAGATTTGCATGGAAATATTTGATGACCGTGGAAGCTGTCAAAAACTATCTGACCTAACTTAAGAAGAACTACTTAAGAAGTAAGTCCCTTCACTGTCTCCATCAGGAAGAGGAACTCACATACTTTTTCCCCCCTCATAAGTGTGATGGTCTTTATGCTTCAAAATGATTTGTGTCCTACATCCCTTGATATGAATGGGTGGGCCCAGCAATTCTACTCTGACCATACAGGTGTCCAACCAAGCTTGGGGACAGAGGATTCAGAAGGGTAGAAACTGCTTAAGTTTGCTTTGTTTCCTTCCCTCACCCATCACCTGATGGTTCCCCATACTATATCTAACCTGTGTTCAGAATCTAGACTCTGTTTCTTACCCTCGCTGTCCTTCCTCCTTCCACTTCTACCACTACCTTTGGACTTGTGTACCTGCATACTCACTTTGAAAACAGCTTGTTCCCAAGTTCCACAGTTCCAGCCACTCATTCCTCAGACTTGCCAGGACCAATCTACACTCCCCTCATTATCTTATCTATTCTTCTCCCCTCAGTCCTAGTTACAACAGGCAACTTTTGACCTCTATAATGAAGGCTATGTATAATGTAACTCCTGATCTTCCCCCAACTTCACCTCTTTGGAATCAGTTCTCTCATGTACAAAATGTAAGTGCTAAAAGAGAAGGCTTGCTGGGCACTGGTGGCTCATGCCTGTAATCCTAGGAAGCTGAGATCTGAGGATTATGGTTTGAAGCCAGCATAGGCAGGAAAGTCTGAGACTAATTAAACACCAAAAAGCCAGAAGTAGAGTTGTGCCTCAAGTGGGAGAGTGTAAGCATTGAGCATAAGAGCCCAGGGACAGAACCCAGGCCTTGGGTTCCAGCACCAGCCTGGGAGACAGAGAAGAAGAGAAGAAAGAGAGGAGAGAGGAGAGGAGTGAGGAAAGAGAGAAATTGAAAGAACAGAGAGGGAGGGAGGGAGAGAGAAAGAGAGAGAGAGAGAGCACAAGCCCTTATGGAAGAAGAAAATTAACATTAGCTGTACATGTACTGCTGGCCAGGCAGACATTATATCCACACAGGAAAAGTACCATCGCTTGTTTTCCAGATGCAGAATGTGAAGGCTTTACGTAATTACAATGAAGATCATCCTTATTGGATGGATGGGCCACTCTCTGTCTCAGAGAGTTAGCTGGGACAGGTGAAGAAGACAGGACATTTTGTGTACCAAGTATGAAAGTGGCTTAATAACAAACAAAGAAAACTTGCTTGTATCTCTGCTTAAAGTTACAAAGCAGCAGCACAGCCTTCAGTGATGGAAGCTCCTTTCTGGCCTGCAGAGAGAGCTAGCCTTCAGGTAACTGTGGTGGTGCCCTGATTAAACTATGTTCATGCTACATGTAGTGTTTGGATTCTGGTCCTAACCTAGGCTGCCTGTGGGCTATGATGCAGGTGTACACTGCCTTTGCCATACAAGTTTCAGTAGTACTGGAGTCTTCTTCACCACCCTGAGTGTGAGCAATTGTGCTCATTTGTTTTCAGAATAGGAATAAAGCAACCACCTCTCCCTGTGTCAGTCAGCCCCTAAGTTAGTGTTGGATATTCAGGACTTTTTACTAATATTTATGAAATGAATGGGGCTCCTTTTTCCCTGCTACAAGAATGCGTGAAACCATGTCCTCTCCTTCGAAGCATGTACAATCGCAGAGAACCACAACTCCAGAGTGCTTTTATACTTCAATTTTTATATTCTTCTTTTTAAAAGGCAAAACAGACTCAGAGTCTATCCCTAAAACCTAACAATTCTGAAAAATCAGAGCTAAATCTATTTCTATGAGCAGAAAAATTGGGAAGCCTAGATATTGGATAGTAAAATGATAAATTTTAGTTTCCTTTCAGCTATGTGTAGCGTTAAAGCTGTTCTGATGGCAACATCTATAATTATTTCAATAAGGCACAATGACGTCATGCTGAGATGCACTGCAACTGTCACCCATGATTTCTCATATAATAAGAATTTGGCATTTCTAACAGTTCTGTTAAGTTGTGAGTATCTAAAATGGACTGTGCACCATACACTCTGCAGAAGAAACAGAATGCCAAATCTTCACCTGTGTTTACCTCAGGTGAAGGATTAAGGTACCTTTACCTTCTCAATAGGGTACAAGGGCTCACTTTTCCCAGCAATAATTCAATTTATTTATATATATAAATTTATATATTTATATATATTTATTCCTGGCATGTATTAAATGGACATATCTTTGCATTTTTAAGAATTTAGGCTAGGGCTAGGAAGGTGGCTTAGTGGTAGAGCGCTTGCCTTGCATGCATGAGGCCCTGGGTTCAATTCCTCAGCACCACATAAGCAAAAAGAAAAAAGCCAGAAGTGGCGCTGTGGCTCAAGTGGTGGTCTTGAGCTGAAGAGCTGAGGGACAGTGCCCAGGCCCAGAGTTCAGGCCCCACAACTGGACCCCCCCCCCCTCAAAAAAAAGAATTTAGGCTAGGTATAGAGTCTTATACCTCTAATCCTAGCTACTCAGGAGACAGGAAGGATCATGGTTTAAGGCCAGTCTAAGCTTCAAAGTTGTGAGACACATCTCAACTAATAAAAAGCTAGGTATTGTGGTATGTGCCTACCATCCCAGCCACAGGAGAAATGCAAACAGGAAGATCACGGTCCAGGCATGCCTGGGCATAAATGTAAGACCCTATTTGAAAATAATAAAAGCAAAAAGGTCCAAGGGTGTGGCTGAAGCAGTAAAGTACCTGCCTACTAAGTATGGAACCTTGAGTTTGAGCCTCAGTATTGTCAAATCAAAAGCAAGAAAGAAAATAATTTCATATGAGTGAATCCAAGGAACTTAAAAAAAAACTAAAAAAGAGAGGGAAAAACTGGGAGAGAAGGAAGGGGTAACATTATCCAAGCAAGAAATAGAAATACAAATAGTAGAAATACTCTTTACCTGATTTATGTAACTGTAACCCCTCTGTATATCACCTTTATAATAACAAGAAAAAAAGAAAAAAAAAACAAACTCTAATAACCAAAACTAAACTAAACTTTTTAATTCCAAAAAGCTGATTATCAAGGCCAGGGTGTTGTGTATACTCTTTCCCCTAGATGGCTCCTTCATATTCCCATCTAAAAGAATATATGAGGCAGGTCTGTGTTTCCCAGCTCCTTCTGTGTTAAAAATAAATGCTAAAAATAAATTCTGACCTAGCAGGTTTCCCCTGCAAAGCAAATAGCAGGTGAAGAGTCAGAGCACTACTGAGAACTGGGCTTCTTCATCTTTTCAACAAGTGATGGTTTTTAGAGTATGTGTGTGTGTATCTGTTTAATATGCCTTGAAAAAGATGAAAGGAAGGAAAAATAGAAAAGGAACACTAAGGAAATATCCTTCTGAGGGTCTTGGGGTTTCCTTATGCCATCCCACCAAATAAGCCCTAATCAGACACTCTGGCTAAATGTTCCTAACTCTGAAGTCTTTAGCTTGCCTAGGCCACATGCAATCCTCACCCTCAATGATACAAGCTCTTGGTTGTTCTTTCTTCCTGTCCTATCCTAACAGCTGTAACCATGTTATTCAGGCAAGTTTCTACTCTAGAAATTCAGGAGTCCCTCACCACAGTCTGCAGATCAGCTCTCAGTATCCAATGTACCACCAACTGTCTTCTTTTTGTACATGTGGTCATTCTCTTTCTTGCTGGGATATTACACCTGTGAAGCCAGGGACTCTGCACAGTCTTTTTCCTCTGGTGGAATCTTGTGTGACTACCACAGAGCCTGGCCCAGGCTTACAACCTCAGTGTGACTTCTGCAATAATGTTCTGTGTGACTGTGGACAATCAGCCTGCCCACACCCTTGGTCTTTCAGCTCTGTGTCTTGGCTCCCATGTCTGTCTACTGTCATCAACAACTACAAACAAATATTTGATTTTGACTGTGATCTTTATCCATATACCACTCTGATGGGGTTCAATGAGTGAGGGGAGATGTAGAGAAAGCTCAGAGGCTACTGTCCTCCTACTCACCGGCCCTCTACTTACCGCCACTTCCACTGACTGCATGGAGAGGTCGCATGGTGGCTTCAGGGCCTTGGGCCTCGTGGCGTACCAGAAAGTGGTGAGTGCTGCAAAGGCTCCGAAGCCCATGAGTGTGTTGGTGGGAAGGGTGCGCATGTATTGACGGATGTCAACCAGTTCTGGCAACCGAAAATACTGGAACAGTTCGTGGGCCTGCATGGTCCTGTGCTGGTGCTTCTTTAAGCCAAGTTCTGCAAGCAGAGAAGAATGGTACATTCACTCTGGGTACTTAGAGCACTCTTCAGACTGACTAATCAAGACATTAACTCCACAGACCAGGTCTCCTCCCAGATGTCAAATTTCATGTTTCTAAAAGCACTTCATAATTCATTTTGGTCCCCCTTCTCCATTATCTTGTCTTAGAAAAATGTTTTCATTAACCACATTAAAAGGACTTTACTTGTGTAGAATTCTTACCATAAAATACTCAAATAAATGAAACTGTATCTTTGTTCTCTTTCATCTAATCAAATATATTCAATTCACATTACCAAAGCTAATAGAGATAAGAGTGACATGAAACAAAACAAACCAGTCCAACCCACCTAAGGACTCTCAGCTATATTTTCTGACAGATCTCAGAACAAGTTCCCCAACTGGTAAAACAGACTGTCTAAGTTTCAACACTTTTCTCTCACCTTCCCAGCACTTGTACATGCTTGCTCACTCCTCCCCCCTGACCCCACCTTTCTGTCCTGGTGTTTGAACTCAAAGCTTTCCACTTGCCGGAAGGTACTGTACCATTTGAGCCACATCCCCAGCTTTTTCTCAATAGAGTCTTATATTTTGGGTTGGGGCTGGTCTTGAGCCATGGTCCTCCTACTTACACCTCCTGCATAGCTGGAATTACATGCACAGAGCACCACACCTAGTTACTGGCTGAAATGGGGTCTTGCTAACTTTTTGCCTGGACTTGCCTTGTACCACAATCTTCCTGACTCCATCTCCTGAGTAGCTGGGATTACAAGCATGTATCCAGCAAGTCCAGCCCTTCCTAATAATCTTCACATCACACAATATGCATACAAATGCTGGAGGACTCAGTTGGCTATTCTAATTAAGTCAGTTGTTTTTACATCCCACCCCATATTCTATCTCAAATAAAAATATTAATGAATTATGAATGCATACACTTTAACCTGCCTACCAGATACCTAGAGAGCTTATAGAATAGTGTTTGAGAGAGAGTATAGTATGGTATTAAAGGTCTTAAATTCTGGAGCCAAATCCTGACTCTCTGACTTATTAGCTATATAATGTAAGACAAAGCATACTGCCCTCTGTATCTCAGGCTGAGTCTGTACAAATGGAGATGAAAGTGGTAGCCCTCAATGGGCTTTTACGACTATCAAATGATTTACATAAAGTTGGTGTACAACAAATGTTAAATGTTGTTGTTTCCTCTACCAATGCCCTGATGTGTTCTCAACACACCATGGCAGGTTGCTCAGCTAGTGATAAGCCATGTTTATCACATAAGAGAAAGTTTACACATAAGAGAAAGGATTCAAAACATGCGGAATAAAATCAGATAAATTTACAGACAATTTATATACAGGTGATTCCAAAAAAACAAATGTGCCATCCGGATTTTTTTAACTCAATTCTAATTAGAAAGTTATTGATTTATAATCTGTGAACAAAAGGGAAGTAACTCAGCAAATCAGCTGAGAGGCTTTTTTTCAACAACTCCTTGACAAGGGGCTAGGAAGGTGGCTCAGTGGTAGAGTGCTTGCCTTGCATGCATGAGGCCCTGGGTTCAATTCCTCAGCACCACATAAGCAGAAAAACCTGGAAGTGGCGCTGTGGGCTCAAGTGGTAGAGTGCTGGCTTTGAGCTGAAGAGTTCAGGGACAGCAATCAGGCCCAGAGTTCAGGCCCCATGACCGACAAAAAAAAAAAAAAAACAACACAACTCCTTGGCAAGCAACAAGGAGGGTTCCAGCCGTACTGTAGATCAGATGGCATCTGTGTGCAGCTTGCTACATATTCCTTTCAATGGCTAGGTCACAAGACTGAAAAAGAGTGTTCTTTTGGGAAATATAGAAATCTTTTGTTTAAATGTAAATCTATACTATTAGTTACTTTCACAGACTAGCAGAATATCAAGCTGCTTTTACTGACCAATAAGGGCATAATGCATTTGTTTGAATCATTCAATCTTGTGCTACCACCTTAGCCCAGGTTAAGTAGACACAGACACAGACACACACACACACACACACACATGCACACACAGAATTAATAGGACAACAGAGAAAGAACAGACAAGCAAATGTCTTCAGGTCACAACTCTACAGAGAAGGCACCAACACAGAGTCACTCACCCTCTGTGCCACCAACAGCTGACTGCTTGGTGACAGAGAAAAGGGCAGAAAGGCTGGGGGTGGGGCAGGGGCTAGAGGAGCTCAGCTGGCGCTTACCGGCCTGCCAAGGTCTTTCAGGGCATTAGTCACATGTGAGTCCCCTGCTGCTGCCCACTGGGCTAAAGGTAACTAGCAGACAAATCCATCCCTGGCTTCTCAGGAGAGCAGACGGTGGAGGATGGGCCAATGAGGAGCTGGGACTGGAGTCACCCCATTGCTCCACCCATGGGCAGGGACCTGCTTCAGTGAGTGTGGCTGCTGGGGGCAATACTGCAAACAGACACTGTTTTCTTTCTGTTTAGCTTCCCAATGAGAAAAGACAATGGCACATTTCTTTTAAGTCCCTTGACATGAAGGCTGGGATGTTGGGTTGTATACCAAAGAAGAGACAGCCCAGAAAGAAACAGATTAGGGGAAGTATTCACAGCAGATTTTCTCTCAAGAGACATTCACAGAAACTCAGCTACTCTGGTCACCTGGTACACCCCAGTGCCCAGAAACAACACACAGAAAATGGGAAGGTGGTGCCAAGGACAGGGTCCCAGCTTCTAATGAACTGACCACTTAGTGGGAAAGACAAAATCAAACCAGCGAGGTCTGCCAGGTCTTGGAAAAGGCTTTTCTGATTAAGAGATAGATCCATCCAAGTTCTGCAAGAGACTTCAAAGATAAATTGACAAATAGAGACTAGATCCTACTGGAATACACACTCAGGTAGCCAAACAGCACCACACAAACAGCCTTACACATTTAATGTGCAGCTGGGTGCTGGTGGCTCATGCCTATAATCCTAGTTACTCAGGAGGCTGAGATATGAGGACTGAAGTTTGATACCAGCAAGGGCAGGAAAGTCTATGAGACTCTTATCTCCAATTAACCAGCAAGAAGCAGAAGTAGAGCTATGGCTCAAGTGGTAGAGACTTGAGCACAAAAACAAGGGACAAAGTCAAGGCTCTGAGTTCAAGCCCCAGTACTGGCATGCAAACGCACACACAGACACACACACAGACACACACACAGACACACACACACACACACACACACACACACTTTAATGGGAAAACTAATCTTGCCCTCTAATCACCTGCTACTTGTCTTCATTACCCTCAGCCCTCCTAGTCTGAATAGGGATTCTCCACCCCTCACCTAAACACCACCCCCTTTCTCTATACTCCCTAAAGCCCCTGCAGTAATTTCCATAAAACCTACATTATGGGAATTTACAGCGGCTATTCAACAGAATTTCATCCCTGAGTGAGGCTATCAAACAAGTTATTTCAAAACAAATAGTCATGCACAGGGATTAAGCTTGTCTATTTTAAGTAGCAGCAGCCACCAAGCTATAAACTGCATTACACTAAGAAAGTTTAAAAAGTCTGGGAAGCTGAATCTTAAAAAAATAAAACACAACACAGAAAAACCATTTCAGAACATTACATGTTTAACAGCACACATACAACAGCACTTTATTAGATACTAATCTGTATTGCTCAGCATTTAAAGCCAGCCAAATTCCTCCATTTAGTGGGTTGTAAGGCAAGACACAGCAGTTTAATTCATCCTCTTAGCTGGCAGCCAGGTAACAGGCTGCAAATCAACTTCACTGAGCAAACTGGCCAATGTTGCCAATCAAAAGATGATAAGTCTCTGCAATAAGACAATATCTCACTTGGTTACGTGTAACTCTTCTGTATGAAACTGCTAGCATAACAATGAGAAGTACAAGTTGTCATGTCCATATCGAGCTTTACAATGTCAGTGCGGGGGGGGGGGGGGGGGGGGGAGGCTGGGAAGGGATGTGAAGGATAAACAAAGGAGGAGGCTGCAATGCTTGGTAAGAAATGTACGCATTATCCTGCCCATGTAATTGTAACCCCTCTGTACAGTATGTTCACAAATAAAATTAAAAAAAAAGAAACTGGTAGCATAAAAAATCTGTTGCCTTTACTTTTTCTGCTATTAAGGAAAAACCACCTGGGTATTTAACAATGGAGGTAGACCTACATTGGAAGAAAATTAGGTATGATTACTAGCTTTATATGTTGTATGTAAATATAAACACCATGCTTGGATATTAAATCCAAATAGGTCTCTTAATAAGTATTAAGACTCATGTACTTGCTAATAAATGGCTAAAACCTAGAGATAGATTTTGGTTTCATTTCAATTTCATTCTTATTTTAATTAATTTATTTTTTTGGTTCCCGTCGTGGGCCCTGAACTCTGGGCCTGGGCGCTGTCCCTCAGCTCTTCAGCTCAAGGCTAGCACTCTACCACTTGAGCCACAACGCCACTTCCGGCTTTTTTTTCTGCTTATGTGGTGCTGAGGAATCGAACCCAGGGCCTCATGCATGCAAGGTAAGCGCTCTACCACTGAGCCACCTTCCCAGCCCCTTATTTGAATTTTTTAAATATATTTTTCTTATTGTAAAGTACTGTATAGAGGGGCTACAGTTACATGAGTAAGGTAATGAGTACATTTACTATCAAGCATTGTTACGCCCTATCATCCCTTCCCTCCCTACCTCCCCATCTCCTTCTCCCCCCCCCAATTAGTTGTAAAGTTCGTTTTCAAAATAGTGTCTTGTACATCTCATTGTTGCAATGGGTAAATCTGTATCCTTTTTTCAGCATTTTGTTATTTCCCTTCCCCTCCCGAAATTAGAAAAATGTATATACACTGGAAATAGGGGGTATAACATGGGGGAAGGACATACAAAGAAAAAAAAATCACATAGTATATAGTACATTAAAAACAACAGTAACAAAGAAAAAACCTCTTGTACACCTATCTTGGGGTTCATTTCATTTAGCATCATCTTACATGGTCATATATAAATAGCTTTTGACCTTTTCTGCTTGTCCGAGACGTATACTAGTTATTGCGAATTGGAATTTTTTAAATCCTCTCAAAAGCAAATTTCCTCTAGGAGAGTTTAGAGCCCAGATTCATAAATGATGCTGCTTATTGCTAAGAATATGATTCCTGTGGCTTACAGGCTTAGGAAACCAGTATCTCTCAGTGGCAACACACCACTCTACTGTCAACTTGCTTCTCCTCCTCCCCAACTCCTTACAAAAAGGGGTCCTCAGCTGGGCCTTTTGAACTGCCTATAAAGTGAAGTCCGAAACCACAGAATAACAAAGGGATGTGACAACTATTAAGGAAATCTGGCCCAGGTTGAGCAAAAATAACAACAACAACAAACAAACAGAAGCCACCACAGCAGGGCAGGGGAATAGGCCCTGGCTGTCATGACTATTCGAAAATGGAAATCTTCCTACCTCTTCATCCAAGCTTTGGGTAAACTGCTAACAACACAAGCAGCATTTCTTTGCCATTCTGAGGAGCTTTCCCATCCTGAATTCTTAATGAATATCACAATAGCAAAATGATAGGGAGAAAACCAATGGCAGAGGAGCAAAAGGCTTCTTCAAGGTATTGGTCAGGGTGGAGACACTCATCTAACTCAAAATTCTATCTCCGTGTGATTCCTAACCTCAGCTGGAACACTCACTCACTGTGAGACCAGGTGCCAGGGGTCCTTCTAGCAGTAAGAGTCTCTGATGACAGTCTCAGATGAAATTCATCCAAACTCTCAATAGCTTACATAAGTGCTATCACCTGGACCTCTGCACAGTGGCTTCAGTGCCCAGTGTACACAAAAGTTCGCCTCTCACCCCTGTACTTGCTTTATAAGGAAGGTGGCTCAGAGCCAGGGGTGATGCACAAGGGCACCATTCTCTAAGGACACACACAAATGTGTGCACACGCATACACATACACACAGAGACTACAATTCTATAAACTTTTTACTTACGTTAACATTTTATTTTCTCCTTCTCATCTATAAGCCAAGAAACAGGTGCTCTGGACATGCACCTTCTTGTGAAGTTCCTCAAGTTTGCGTCAAGCTGAATAACAGCAGTTTGCTGGAATGCTGCACTCGGAACGCAGACCACAAACAAACCCACATAAATAGTTTCCCTGCCTGGGCAGCAGCAAATGAAATAATCCTGCCATCTTTCCTTAATGCAACAAGCCAAGCTGGCACCATGCTGCCATTCCTCGCCCCACCTCCTCCCCTTGTACAATAGGCTATTTACAGAAGGCTGAAAGTGCCCCCTTTGTCCTGTACTAACTGGGCAGAGCTCAGGCCTCTGGGAAGAACAAGAGAGCAGCAGTCAGGCCATTTGCTGCTCTTTCAATTTGCTACTCCAAAACTGTTGGATGCATGCTCCTTAACCCTGGCTGGCAAATCACCTAAAGCTAGATTTGCTTAAGCCATTGTCTCTAGAACCAAAAGAGCAGTTGGCCTGTCCCTCGAGAGAGGAGAATAACAGAGGTCCCAAAGAGATGTAAGTCTCCCAAGCTAGAGGAGAGGTAGAGGTCGAGATCCAAACCTAACCCCACACAGGAAGGCTCTGCAACCCTTGCTACCCTTGGCCCAACTCACTGTGGTATGAGAAGATGTGGTAACTGGGATTAGGTGCCCAAATAGGCAAGTGGTTCCACAGAGGTATCCCTGCCCATCACCCTAGGGCTTTTCTTCTCCATTACATATAACTACCCCTAGGCCCAGGGCTTTTTCATTTCCATTAAAGGGAGCCATTTCCATGAAGACTTGCCAGAAATGCCTTATATTTATAAACTTCAGTTCATAAATTATTTGTACACTTACACCCTCTCCTTACCAATCTCATCTAAAGTTATTAGGAGAAAAATAGGATACAAACCTTTGAACAGTAAGTTTTAAGATTAAAGGCATACCCCACCCATTCATAATGGCTATAGGTCACAACTATCATATATGCCTCCTCTCAAATAAAAGAACCTAAACATAGCATGCCCGTTTCCTGATTCATCAAGCTCTATATACATCTAAGCCACATGACAAAATAAATTACTGCTTTCTAAAACTAATATTTTGTTAATATTTAACTCAAATTTCTTGAACATGTTTTTTTCAAACAAGGTCCTCGGTCTCCTTAAGGCCACATTTTGAGGCATCAACAATATTCTGGAGAACATATTTATGCATTTCTTCTATTTAAGTTGAAGTATTTTTAAAGTCACATACATAGTAACTACTGAAAAAAATTTCAAACCACAAAAATAGTTTTTAATATTACAACAGTGAAGTTTTGCCCTATGATCATATCCATATAACTACACCTTATCCTTTATTGCTTTTTAACTGGTTTTAAAAAGCTTTCTAGCTGGATGCTGGTGGCTCATGCCTGTAATCCTAGCTACTCAGGAGGCTGAGATCTGAGGACTGAGGATCCATGCCAGCCCAGGCAGGAAACTTTGTGAGACTCTCATCTCTAATTAACCAGCAAAAAATTTCCAGAAATGGAGGCTATGGCTCAAGTGGTAGAATGCTAGCCTTGAGCAAAAAAGCTTAGGGACAGCACCCAGAACTTAAGTTCCAAGCCCCAGTACCAGAAAAAAAAAAATCAAAAAGCTTTCTGTAGTAGTATTCAACACTTGCCTTTGTAAAGTCAAACTCTTTAAGAAATACCTAGTTGGTGTTAAATTTCTTTGCCTTAGAAGAAATCAGATTCAGTTGTTTTGCCTTCACAAGGACTTAAAATTGGCAGAGACGTTTCAAAATGAGGTGCCTTCTCCACTTGATGTTCGAAAGAGCCCTTTTACATTGGGGTTCACGGATTATTATATATTCAGATGTGGGTACAAACTGAAAAGAGACTTCCAGATCTGTTCTAGAGATTTGGAAATAAAACACACAACACAAATACTTATATGAACAGCTAACAAATTAGTAAGTGTAAATGAAATCATGACTTTCAAGGAAAGCTACTCTGTGAGGCAAAAGCACAAGCCAAAATAGTCCTCAAAGGATGACTTCAGCCTAAGAGAACTTCAGTCCATGCTAAAGGGACAGAAACAAGACCAGGAAAGCAACTCCCTACTATATTCTGGAACAAATGGTGAAGTCAAAGTAGATGGGAGAGTGGAAGGAGGCTGTTAAGAGATCAGCTGAGCTATGATTCCTTATGAGCCACAGTTCATTAAGGGCTTACTGTGTGTCAGCACTGTTCTATGCAATCACACACATGGCCTAAAGTGCTCTTCATCACAGCTTTTATTTATTGCATGAGTGTTACTGCCTCAGTTCAAAGAGCAAGAGACTGCAGTGACACGTCTTGCCCATGCTCCACACAAGAAAATACTAGAGCTCAGATGTGAAGCCAAAGCCTGTGGCCCTTGAGAATCAAGTGCTACACTAGGCATTCAGATCTAGACAGAGGTGGAAGATGATTATGACAAAAAGCCCAATACACAGTTACTATAAACAGCCAGGACTTAAAAGAACCCACATGCTCATCAACAAATAGGTGATAAACCAAGTGCTATATACACATACAGTGGGCTAGAATTCAGACTATCATAGGAAGAAAATATGGATAAATGCCATAACACGGTGACATGGGTGAAGCATGAAAATAGTACGTTATGTGAAATAGGTCAAGTACTGTATAAGCTCATTTCTAGATGGGAGCAATGGATAGAAAGTAGAAGAGAGGTGGCTGGGGAGGAGGAGTGGAGACATCAGAGTTATTGCCTAATGGACAGTTTCTGTTTGGGATGATGAAAATTCTGGGGAGAGAATGGTAATCATTATACAACCCTGCAAATATACTTAACACCATTGTGTAACTGAAGACTTAAACATAGTTACAATAGTAAACGTTGTTAGGTATGTTTTAGAGTTAAAAAAATTTCAAGTCCTTTATAAACAAGTCAGCATTTGGTAACCAAGTGGATATAAATGGGGGCGATAAGGAACTAAGGATCCAAGTTTCTGGGCCTGGGAGAATAGATAGTGAGACAGTGAAGAGAGACGGGAAGGTGCTTGGTGAGCTGCCAGCCCCACTTTCCAAGGTCCTGAAAATCTTCATTCCCATGCAGAAGGAAACTTCTGGGGTCACCATATGCTTCCCTGGACAGGCTCCCCACTGGCTCCCTACCTCAGCACAGCATTGGGGACACAAAGTACAGGGCATGTGGCCTCACTTCCTCCTTGGCATGCTTGCCCTCTCCCACACCCCATGCCCTTCTTCTCTGTACCTGTTCTGTATCTCCCTCCCGCCTGGATCCACCTACAATCCTCTTCCTTGGCCCTGTTTATGATATCAACATGTCATCCAAACAGTCCAGGGTCACTTCTTTTAATAAATTCTTACAGGACGCCCTCAGTAAGTATCCTTAGTCCTTCCACTGAATTCTAACAATACTTGGGCACCTCCTGTTTTACTATTTTAAATTTATGATAAGTGAAACTTAATACCAATATAGCTGCTCCTCTCTCCTATTGCCCTTGGTGCTTAACAAAGTCTTTAGATCAAAACAGGTACTTCATGAATATTTACTGAGTCATGAATGAACCACTGTGATTCTGACCATTTCCCTACACCAAGCTGCTGGAGGGTGTATTTATAGAACAGTGGTTCTCTGAAGAGGAAAGAGCATTCAAAGCAACCCTAAACCCTAGTAACCTTCTTCCTCTTCCCTGCCCATCTCCCTTCCATCAGAGTTGCTGTGAACCCATGAAGGGAGGAAACAACAATAGGGGAGGGAGCTAGCAGACAATAGCATAAAGGCTACGTAAACTATTTTCTTTCCCATTACATGATGCTTTTGGGTGTATCAAATTGTTTCCTTTGTGCATATCCTATGAATTTTTGGGACACCAAGGACAAAGTGTTTCTGTTCATTTTACAAGGCATTGAGGCACATACCTATGTGACTGATGGTCAGTTTAAAACAAATCAAGGCTATCAATGGGGAGAGAAAGTGATCCCTTTAGTACCTTTCTTAGTTAAGATAGCAATGCCAGAAGATGGGCTCAAGCTTCCAAGGATGGCCTCTCTAGTCTATAGCTGAGTTTTCTATGACAGAAGAGAGAATTCTCCAACAAACCCAAGAAACAGGCCAGATTTCTTCTTAGCACTGCAGTACCATGGGAGGATTGGTGGTGAGAATATTCCCCAAACACGGACTGCTGGGCAGGTGGTTGTTGGAGATGTAAGGAATGTTGGCAACAGGACCTGCCCAACATTCTCCAGAGCAAACTAATAAGCAAACAAACAGCCCATGTAACTCTCCTCCCTTCTCTAACACAGATACAAAAAAGACCTGTTGTGGAAATCCATCTGGGAAGATGGATGGGCCTGGTGAACCACCTTCTGGTCACATGAAAGCCTTTGTGTGGGCAAGGAAGGTTAGTGCTTATTGAGATGCCTGTAAGAGCAAAATCTCCTTTCAAAAGCCATTTGTCTTCAAACATTGGTTTAAAACTGCTCCATAATTTTTGTATATATGTCATGGCAAGGCAGCGAAGTTTTATTATAAGGGCTAGAGGAGGAAGGAAGTGGGCCTGAACAGAACAAATATGGTTATCAGCATAGCTTTAGTTGGGGACAAGGTCACCTGTTTGGTGAACTGGTCCAACTCTTCTGCAGGAAACAAAACAGAAGAAAATTCTGTGGATCCTAAATAAGGCATGTTATTTCGGCTGACATTCAACCCAGGGAAGAGTCCTAATTATGCTGACAAGACTGTATTTTGAAGACTATGACACCATGGTCTCAGGGTATTAGGCAAAACAAGTAGAACCTGTTATTGTAATAGCTAAAGAAGGAAATCAAATTCCTCTTGCCACTAAAATAATCTGATAAAATAGAACCACAAAGTAAACACTGAAGTAACAGCTAAAAAGGAAAGGTCCCATGTCCTGTTTCAATGGCCAGGGCTGGACTCCAGTTAGATAGGAACTTCTCTACTTAGGACCTCAAAACTGAACATAAGGTCCATTCATTTGAGAAACATCACACAGATAAGGGACCTAAGTCCTAGGGTTCTCCCAGATGCTTTGTACAAAGCCAGTATCTTCCAGTGGTAATGACTGAAAGAAACAGAAACATGGAAAGAATCCTAGACTTAAATGCCAAAGAGCCTGTTCCAGGTACTGATTGTGTCCCTGATAAGCTACACAATAATGAGGCAAACCTCTGCCTATGTGGGCAGAAAGGGGTGGAAACAGAAGAGAGCCACACCC